TTAAAAGGTTCAGAATGAAGTTTACTGTATTTCATTGAAATCTATCCAGCGTGGTGCAGTGACAGATACCAAATTTCACTTTATGTTTTTGAAGTAACAAGATCGATGATCTGAGCGATCGTTTCAATAAATCGAAGGACATGGATCTATGTATTTCGCAGGTTTTGCGATATACGGTAAAGATTTGTTTTCTTAGTATTTTCATAAAATGGTTTAGTGATAGAGAAACAAGATGACCTGAAGTGCTGCTACAAGTTTAAATGCCAATTATCACTGTTATATCTAAAATATTTCGAAGGCGATTTTCATGTGCCAACTTTCAGTGGTCTCAGCTAAGTGATAAAGAGCGATTGACATACGAAACTGTGGCACGGCGTAAAGTTCAGGAAAAGTACAAAACCGAACTGGATGTAAGTTAATCATTCTGCGTTTTACAGCCATACTCTGTGATATCCAATAACAATAATTTTACCCTTGATTTTTCTGCTTGCAAATGCTTTCCTTAATCTCTTAGCTCGATATATATATATATATATATATGTATATATGTGGTAGCGTAAATTTATTTCTGCTATCCTGAGGATAGACCAGTAGGATAACACCGTTCTCAGCATTGATTTAGAGTGACTCAATAATTTCAAATAAGTTAATTTTTCCAGCTTATTGTCGTGGCATTTCAAGCAATGCATATTTAAAATTTGATACGAATAGAGTCCTGTTCAAAATTGATCTCAGCAGTAAATTTTTCAGAAAATGAGAAGTGATCGAGATAGTAGATCAGAAAAAAGTATAAGTGCAACAAGTAAGTGTTTCGAACACTTATTTCACATGAAGGATGGTCTTATCCGCAGTAAGCATCAGTACCGACATAGTTCAAAACTGCATATCTTTCATATTATGCAGAAGATTACTTATTTTGATTACATCTTTTCAAATGTAACTTAGTATCTAATAGCTTGTACACTCCATAAGTGATTCTGTAGTTTCAGAGTTGCAATGGATCCGTTCTTTGCCAGCCATGCCGTTAACCGAATTTAAATTCATGTCAGCATGGGCAAAAAAACAGAGGGAAAATGAACATTATCGTGTGCACTGTAAACGCTTGCGATGTCCATTTTGCAAGAATATGATTTTGAGGGACGATACTTTACAGGTTATAATTTCAAACAGTGATAGTGTCAGATTTCGGATTGCTGTGTATCTTCTTAACTAATAACTTCTTACGTAATGTAGGGAGCTATCAGTTAGGAGAACGATGTAATAATAAATAATAACAATTATAATGTACCAGGCAAATATCTTGTTGTGTGGAGAAGGTGCATATTACTCGTTTAATACTAAAATTCTTAGATGCATATTCTGTATGGTCACCATAACATGTACGTGTATGCATGTCATTTCTGTTTCGAAGGATTCACTTCATTGGAACAGCTGAAACAGCACTGTTGTGAAGAATTCACGCAGTTTATGCTACGGTTAGTGATCAAGGAAACAAAGGTACTGCACATTTTGGTTTTTCAAATGTAGGTAGTTGGTTCGACTAATTAATTACCCTTCAGTAACTCTCCCCGGTGCGTTTTGCTTATATTAGTTTAGCCATACAATTTCCCATAAAAATTTTTCCATTCTTCCTTATGTATTTGTATGCATCATTTTCTTATTTGTGACTTGAAAATTGGATTTCGAAACTTGTTGATATAGGACATTATTTGAGATTTTTACTCAGTGAAATAGGGATGATGTTATGGTATAAGGAAATGTGTTGTTTTGAACGCACACTCTTTTTTACGGCTTCTATAACTTTCAGTTGGAAATGATGTTTGCAATGCACACATTGATTTGTGCTGAATGTAATCTGCAGGTGCCTTTGTCATCTTTGAGTAATTCATCCAGTGATAAAAAGTGCATCAAACTGCAGCGTTTGTTGGTTAGTTTTCAGTGAAATATGTGGTGATCATTTTTCTTAATTGTTACTCTGTTAAATGGATTACTTTGTTCGGAGATGTCAACATTTTATATCATCATTTTGGAGTTTTTCATAATCAGATACTGAATGCAAATAATGGAAATAATTGAAATAACGTAATGTTTTATTAGTCATCAACACTAACAGTGGATGCTATGAAAAATCATAATTACTGCCAGAATCTTGAATTAAATTTCAGAATTATCACAGTACAGACAAATTAGTATCATGTATTATATTATTTGCTGTTCGGCCTTCTGAGGTGGAGTATGTAACAATGAGGGGTTGCGCAATGAAGTGTGGAATACCACTGCGGTGTAAATTTTGTTCACACAAGTTTGTCTCTGCAGCGGATATCGAAAAACATCAATTAAGTGAACATTCTGGGGAAGTGATTAAATTGAAATGTCCGGTGTGTCCACGATTCTATATTACGGATTGTTTCTTTAGGTATTAAGTTCATGGTTATTAGTGCTATAAATGTGATTTTCTCCTTCCTTTAATTATTGCGCGGTCCTCATATCTGCCAAATGCATTACAAATGTAATGCAAGAGTAGTGTACTTCATTCCTTTTTCTCATATACATTCAAATAACGGCATTTCAGGGATCATCTATTATCTCATCTTGGTGAAGTGCATTCTATGACGGGCCTATTAGATAAAGCAACATTTCGGCCGTCAGCTTTTTCTCATGATACGGCTTGTAAAATGGGGCCCTCACTGCAGAAAATCATTGGTTCTGATATAGCAGAAATATCAAGAATCGAAAAACCAGACGATGTTAATTTTCATTTTGGTTTTATTTTTTGGCAAATTGATTAGTTTTAAATGAAACGAAGCTTCCACTGTACTGAATTTTAACTTTTTCCAATGTTTTTTTTTTTTCAATTGGGATTTCTGAGCGCTGAATCTCCTACCTCTCAGCTATCTTATATCTAGAAATACCATAAGAACGAAGTCCTTCAAAAGTATAACTAGCGAAGAAAAGGTGAGAGGAATACGTTCTTTGGCTAATATCCGCTCTTATTACAGTGATATTACGACACATGAGATAAGTTTTCAAAGTAATTTAAATCTTCAGCTTTGTGATTAAAATACTCTATTCCTAACTCTTAATCTTTCAGCTCTCCGATGATGAGGATGAGTCATATGAGAAGTCAGTATTGGACCGAAAAAGTAAACTGATTGTTGAGAAAAAAGTGTCAAAAAAAGTTAGCAAAGGAACTGATCAGAATTTGTGTTATTATTGTAGACATGCAAAACAGGTATCAAATTTCATCACATTGTTCTTTTTCCACCACTTTTTCTTTCTTAAATGTGTTTGCGATGTAAAAGAATTTGACTCATTTTTTGAGGGACGAAGACGATTTGGGTATTATAGAAAGCAGAAAACAACCCTCTATTCCTTAATTTTTTTCTTTTTCTTTTTTTCAGTTGATGACTAAACCGCTGCAATCCAGTCTTTGCCGATGCATAAAGTCGAGACGTGAATCAAAATCATTCGCAACGAAAAATTCTTTTGTGAAGTCACTTGTCGAAAAGTTCACCCGAGAAGGACGGCTCTATATCGACAAGAAAGATTCCATTCTGGATACAACGATTGGGGCGGTTATTGATGATAGGTGAAAAATTTCTTTTTGAATTCAAAAATAACTGAAAGTTCTCGATCTCTCAAGTTCAGTTTTTCAGTGTCTTCATTTGTATCAAATGTAAAGGTCTTCATCTTGGTGATCAAAATACATTGAAACATCTTCGTATTTGTATGCAAAAGGACGTTGAATCTCCGGATCCGGAAAAGCATTTTGATTTGATGGACAACAAAATTGTTAGTAATGATGCATTCAGTTTAATCATCTCAGTACTTCTTACCGTTTAATAGTCGAGATTAGAATTCTTTTAACTTCTAAAAACATTTGGCTGCTGTAGGTTATCCGTCTAACTCAGTCATGTTGTTCTCCAAATGGCAGAATTAGTTGTCCGGAATGTGAAGTGACATCCTGTTCAATCGCTAGCTTGCGGCGACACTTGGCTCTAGATCATGGCATTTTTGCATATTACAATATTCCAGGTTGGTTTCCCTCCAAGGATCAATTTTTTTTCTGGTCTCATAAATCGCGTGCAGCATGTCTACCAAAAATTCCCAATTGCAGAAAGTCACAGAGCTGTTGGCATCATGGAATATGTTTCATCGAAAAGTACCAAAGATGCAAAACTTGATATTGCCGCAAGAATAAATCTGGAGCTGAATTTGACGCCAACAGGCGATTTTAAGCAGCGAGACGACAGATGTTCTCAATCATCTTCTCTAATCAGTAGTAATTCTTTATCACAATTTTTCTAAGAAAGGTGCTGAAATTTTCTAACTTTTCGAGACGGTAATCAACTACTCCAAGCTGCCGAAATATAAATGCGCACACTCTTCGTGGTGGCCATTTTTAGGTTCTATTCACAAGCAGAAATCAAAAGCAGTGTTTTGGTTTTCGAGAAATTCTCGAAAGTTTCGGAAATAAAACTCATGGGACTGAATTGAAATTTTATTCCTTTTTCAAGGAAAATTCGCCTTTATAACTTTCAAAATTTCATTGCAGGAAACAACACAAAGCTAGCTACTTCCAGCATCCATGCAACAGAAAATTTCCAAGTATAGTTTCGTTAGATTTTCGTTCCACTTTGTATACTGTTTCACTGAAGGCATGGTAGTAGGTGTGGATGTTGCTAAGTGAAATTCACTTGGAGAAAAATCGATATTTCATTATTTTCATACTGTTCAATCCTTATTTTTCAGGCAGCCCCAATGTCAGCTGAAACGCGATCAACTTTAATGCAGGCTTTCATGGAGCCAACACAAAGTTCAACAGTAATGGGAAAATTTATTTGCATCCTCTGCTTTGTAAGCTTGTTAGCTTCAGTACCCTATTTTGAGTAATGGGAAATTTTGGAAGCTTTTTAGGTATAATCTTGGGTAGAGTGTACAAATTTTCTTAAAGAAGAATGCGCCATGTAGATAGAACTTAAAAGCGTCTTTACTTCCCTTTCTGTGTTCGATTACATTACGTCTGTTTTTTTCTGGAAACTCTGAAGAGCATATGAAGACGCTGAAGAAAAGAAAGTGTTTTATAGCAAAATCCTTGCATCGTAGCGGAACTTCATGTTTAAGAGAATTCCATAATTGGTTCTGCACTGGATTTGGTTGAAGTTTGAGAAATTTAGAACCAAGGAACCATTTCCGACAAATTTCCTAATTTTTAAGTTAATTTATGGTGTTTTGAACAAATAACTACTAGTTACAGAAATATGCGTTCTTTGTTTCGATTTAGCTGTTTCAAGGAAATTGGTATATAGAAAATCTGCACGCTAAACAAATATTGATATTTAAGACACCTAGTGCTTCATCGCAACAGTTGGCAAATCATTTCGTTCGCTCCCATCTGCATTTGTGTTCTGAATGTGGAAGTGGTTTTGTTGAAAAGCAGTGTCTTTTGTCCCATTTGGCTTCTTGTCAAAAATGGCCTCGAAAATGTAGGTTGAACAACTCTTATATTTACTGCTTCATTTGAGTTTTGAATCCACGTGGATTCTTGCAGAATTGAGTAAAACTTTGATAGATTCAATTACGAAGATCCTTGCAGTACGAATCATTTTTTTGAGGTTCGGATGGCGAGTTTTTTCCACGTTGTCCAATTTGTAGTTTCCTTTTCCTCACTCCCGAACGCTACTTTTATCATTTACTGCACTGTCACAATACGAGCTTATACATCAGTGAAAAGCAACAGGTAATAGTTATGATTTATTGTGCTTACATTCCCGTGCTTCCAAAAAAAAAAAAAAAACTTGCACTCAGTTACGAGCGAAGCAAAAGGTCAAAAGTTTGCAGACAACTAATAATCAAAATTAAAATTCATAAGAGTCGGTCGGTCTTGGCAGTCTTCATCTTTTGTTTTGAGGAACTAATTTAATTGGAATTCGTTCCATTTCTTTTTCAAATTCGAATCCAGTACGTTTAAAAATGATGTTACATATTTCCAATGTGTTTTGTCTTAATTTTTTGTCAAATTTTTCAGGTAAATCCGATGTTTATTTGGAAGAAATTATCCTTAATAGATGCTTCAAAATTGCGAAGGACATTAATGGATAAATTGGTGAGTTTGATGTGTGGTTCTCCTCTCATTTACCTACGTGTTATTTTCGAAGTGTTGTTTACCTAATTGATTTACAGATAATCAAAAATCACGATGATTTTATAGCAGAAGATATGTCGAATTCGTCTATTCTGCCGGTGAGAAATACAAGATATGCGGAATCTGTTGTTGCAGATGTAAGTTTAATTCACATAACTCTAGAATTGTACGGAATTTTCTTGACCATGTTTCACTTTGTTTTGCCTACTTTTTATCTCTTATTGCATTTGGGCTAAAATCCGAATGGGGGAAATTGCCCTCCTTTTATATCCTTGTCACTTCCTTGCGCTGTAAAGTTTAGCAAGATTCCGAGTACAGAATATTGTCGCTACCAAGTTTTCGAAGAACTCAGAAGTCAGTTTTTCTGAACGTTTCAGAAGTTTATGTGTGCTCTTTGCGAATTGGATTTCCCAAACCGAATTGAATGCGATATTCATCTGCAGAAACATCCGGAACAATGGAGCTGCTGTCCTGTTTGTATGTACTTTCGAGACCATTATCCGATTCGTACTATCGGCGAACTTTTTGAGCACCTGTTGTTTAAACACACAGTGAAGTCACTGCAACCAAAAGTAAATATTTAAAGTTTTCCTCTTCAGTTTATTAGGATTATATGGCTGCTCATTACCAAGACGTTCTACATATCTACTCAGCGCTTTTCAGTTTTTTTACCATAACTTGAAACATGATTTCAATTGACTGCAATTTACCAACAATATTTTTTATCCATATCATAAATGGTAAATATCAAATTAGGAAACTATCATCAGTCGCCTGCAGAAAACAGCGCCTCCTTTTAATTGGTTAATCACAGGAGGGCAGTGTCTCTCTATCTTTGTATCCCTTCCACTTTACTTTCATGTAAAGTTTTTTTTCTATGTGATGAAGGAAGTTATACTTAACCTTTGGGTTTTTATTTCAGGGTGTAAAAATAGTGTGCAGTCTATGCCAGAGTTTATCTTCCTGTGAATCAACGGTACCACTGTCAGTCAAGTTGTGCGAGGAACAAATGATCCGACATATTTTATACACTTGTAGTGGTACTCAAGTATGCTTTCTTTGCAACGATGGCGTTGTGTATTCACCTGAGAAGCTAAAGAAGCATCGTGTTAGTGAGCATCGCATAGTTTTTGAAAGGTTAATTCATTGAAAAAGTTCTCATGGAATAAAAATTCTAAAAAAGGCTGGGATTGCAAATAATCTATTTTTATTATTTATAGGTTACCGATTGTTGCTGATAGGTTTTTCACGTGTAGATGTCTTTTCGGTTAGCAACATATGTTGAAATCTGATTTGTAGTCATGTAAACATTTGGCAATTCATGTTTATTTGTAATTAGGCAATAATAAATGTAGAATTTGTCGCTATTTATAGAAAAATATTGAGGTTTTTGAAATAACAAGTTTCGAAGATGCAATCATCTTCATTTGAATATTGCATTTTTTCAAAGATACAATCATCTTCATTTGAATGTTGCATTTTTTTTTTCTGTTAAAAATTTAATATTGATTCTCCATTTCAGATTCGGATGTTCGGAATGTTCTCGAAAATTTCACACTTGTAGCGCGTTTAAGAAACACTCCTGCAATGTATTGTTAAAATGTTCATGTGGAGTTAGTGCGCTATTTACGGAAGAAGAATTCGAGAAGCATTTCGAAAAACACTTGAATTCAATGAAGGACTTTTGTCTCCTATGCAACAAATATTTGTTTTCGGTATGTAATTTTCATTCTATAAAAATGCAAGGTATTACTTTATTGAGGTTTACGGATGTATTTGGTTGTCTTTTGTTCATAAATGTTTCATTAAAGAAAAGTAATTTTCTAGGGGAAATAAGTAGAAATTGTAGGAATTTAGCATTTTTTCTCTATAATTATGAAGTTTATTTTCAAGCAGGATCAACTTCTTTCCCACGTCATGCTGCATCGAATTGTCGTAAACGGTAAAAGACAGTTGGTGCAGTTAAACATGCCGGGAAATGTATTGTCTTTTCCTGGACCGAACATCACCACGGATAGTAATATGAAAATAAATGTTCCATCTAAAAAAGTGAGTAGTTTTTTAGGAAAAATAAAGTAGGAACTATATGAGGTTGTATAAAGTTCAGCTTGGTCAAACTTCCATTTTTTAAACAGTGTTTTATCACAGGACTATATTAATCCACATGAAAGTTTCTGTTGTTGAGTTCTCCATGGAAGTCTAGTTTACGGATTTTTACTTCAGTTTTAAATATAGCGGGCTTTCCTGAACGCAAGTTCCACGGATTAAATCTCGACATTCTTGCATCTTCTAGGAAAGACTGATATATAGCTGGAATGAAATTTCTAAAATTATTGGTAAAGATTTAGACATGAACATGAAGCTAAAATTTTTTTTTGATTTTTCATTTCTTTTTTACGTCTTCAGCAGTAACTAAGGTTAGACTGCTTGATAAGTCTGCACGAATTAGTGATTTACCTTTACAGCATAACGCTACTACATTTCTATTTGGAAAAGTGAAGATAAGCAATGGTGACGATGGAATCCAGTTTTTAGGATCCGGTTCCCTTACTAATGATGCAAATGGAAGTGAAAATGAAGGTCGTAGGAAACATGGTAATGATTTCTCCATAAAAATATATTAGTCCTACCTTGCCTAATGTTTTATTTACAATGCTTTATGCCTACTTCTAGAAGTATATAATGCAATAATTTTTGAAGATGTTTAAGTAAAAGTTCTCGCTAGTAAACTTCAATATTTTCTCTTTAGATACTAACAGAAATCACTTCACTAAGCTCATGAAATAAATTGATTTTGTTAGCTGGTGATAACGATGTGGTATTCGTGGCGGAAACTCTTCCAGCTAATTTCATGACCAACGTTCGATCAGAAACTGGTGCAGTTACCGAAGCAGTGTCTTCATTTTACACTTATCCTGTGGAAGCTACGGCATCTATACCAGATATCAGATTCCCAGTTGGTTAGCAAGTTGATTTCGAGCTTTAGAAAACTGCTTGAATTTATAAGAAGCAAATAGGACCCGAAATTAAATGATTAACCATTCTAGTAATCGAAGAAAATTTGGAACTAAGTTTCCTTTTTGAAAACGGGTTGTGAAACAGTATGAAGTCCATCTATATAGTGAAAAATTGATTGAAAACTCATAATGATTCTATACGGAATTTGAACTGGCCATTTTTTATTTCAAAAAGTTTTTTTATATCAAATTTTTTGGAGCTAGTTTTTTCACAGAAATAAATGAGATGGCGATAAACAATATCATGGAGAAAGTATTCGATGTAGGGGTTTCCCTGGCCCTGTAATATCTTTGTGAATTACTCGAAATTGCCAAGTATTTTTTTTCTTGTTTTTACAGTCACTAATTTATCATATCAGTTCGTTATAGATGAAATTATGTCTGGTGAATCCGGTCCATCTGCGACGATATTTGGTGCTAATACAACAGACGTGGCATCCCCCATTATAGATGGACAGAATTCTACAACCAGAAATGGATTTCCAACAAAATCTATGAAAAAAGAGCTTGCTTCTGCAAAAGCATCATATACTCCTGCGGATGTCAGTGATGATGATGATATAGTGTTCATCGACGAATTGGAAAATGTAAATTCTCGGTTTCTTAATTTTTGTAAATGAATCACTGATAACTAGTTTGCAAATTGTACAAGTTTCACTCTTAGTAATATATTTGCAAATGGGAAAGATTTTTATTGCCTGGACCTTATACTACAAAGTATTAGGATGAACTGCTCTAGTTAAACACCATGAATTACATGAAAATAAGGTGTTAAAATTTGTGATAATTTGTAAATCTCGAACGATGGTGTCACGATTGCTGTTTTAGGAGAGTCCCAGTACTGATGAAGTTCTAAAAGAAGGAAAAAAGGTTGTAGACAAAATTGGTGATTCAGATTTGGAGATTGTTGAAGGCGCTGAAAGGTTCCTATTCTTTTTGTTGAAATAGATTTGTTATTTCCTAAAGTTCTTTATCCCTAGTGAGTGAGAAAAACGCTATTTGGTCAAATACGATGCATTAGATGTATTCTAGAAACACAGTTGCTTCATAGGCATTGCTCAGTAAAAGGTGATTTTAGATGTCTTGATTTTGATCTGCAGATTGTGGTATACCTGAACTAGTTTTCTTAAAAGCTTTGTTTATTCAGAGCAATAATTTTTACACAATTTTTCCCGTCAATATTGCATTTGAATGTATAAGTTGTAATACATAAATATTAGCTTTCATATACTTATGTTCAATCATATAAACCACTGATTTAAAGGTACACAAAATTTTAGACACAGTGGGCCTTATAAGCGTGAAGCGAAATTCCACTGTAGTCAATGCACCGAAAAGTTCCTTACGAGGGCTTCTTTGCTGATACACAAACAGACTCACAAATATGATGCTGGTCAAACGATCGAAGCGGTTGGTTGGCTTCAAGTAACAAACTCACAGTTAGGGATTTGATACTATACTCCTTGTAATTTTGTTTAATTCATCCTGTGAAGTTTTAATCTTAGGTCTACGGAATTCCTGTTGAAACGATTTTATACATATGTCGTCTATGTTGTTTGGCATATGAATCGCAAGTAGTATACCAGATGCATATGCGCACTCATGGCGCGCTGCAAAATTGTGAACGATGTTCTGTGGTCGCATTCAACGAAGAACAGATGAGAAATCATCAAGATCAGCACGTGCCATCTACCGGTAGACAACAAGTGGTTTATGTTTGTTCAAAATGTGTGGCTACTTATTCAACGGTTAGATCTGAACTGATCTTATAAAGACTGATACTTTATGGTGCCGGACTCTAAAATTTTTCTTTTTCAGACGAGTGGTTTTAGTGAGTGGATAAGCTGGGGAAAGCAAAATTTAGCAGATTGTTGGATGTTTAACTTTGAACTGTTTTCTACTATTTTTAGTCTACATTTTCAGGATGCACGTTTGTATCATCATATGCTTAGTGCTCATGCACAGGCTATACTTTATTTCTGTAAGAATTGTGGATTGGCAAACACTAATGGATGTGTTGTCTATGAACATATAGTACGAGGTGAATGCGCTTGGCGGGTATGTTTCAAACGCCAAAACCAGTTATTCGCTTTTGCTGTTCTTTAGAAAGGGATTGATTTTGACCATTATATTTTATTGCAATTATTTATCTGCTCCCAAAAAGGATAACTCTTAGGAGAATGCGTTTCTGTTTTCGCTTTATTGTTAGTGTTCTGGATAACTGTTAGGAAAAATCACGCTGCCAAACCAAGTTGCCAGTTTGCTTTGCTGAGCATTTATAGCAGTTCTTTTTGTTTCAGAATTTATCATCAGTATCAGAATTTGTAATTATGGGTTTTACCGCTGCATGCATATTCCATTATCAGCCAGCTAATCCTGTCCAGTATGAGAATAGGGTGCGCAATAATGAGCTGCTTGTGGTTATCCCATCAGAATGCATTCATCGGTCGTTCTTGTCTCTGCCAAATGATGTCATTAGCATCACTTGTCCAACATGTAATTCACTGGTCAGTTTATTCACCCCATTAAACTGTAAAGATAATTCTTATATCTGCTTCCTTTGCTTTGACTTCGAAAATGAAAAGGATTATTCCCTGGATTTCTTTTGAATTTTTGATTTTAAAATTTTTAGATGAGTTTCCTGCGACTCCAAGCGGAAAATCCGAGATTCACTGGAAGCTTACCGGTTCGTTTTATGCATTGTTAATTGAGTAAACTCTTTAAGTGCTAGGTAGGTTTCAATATTATCTGTTTCACCTACCAAATTTAAAAGCTTTTACATGTTAAACACTCACGCATAAAAATCGATATTTCATTTATTTTACTGCTGATATATCTAGCGTACTCTGAATCATGCTGTGGATGACAATGATGCCATGATGTTGACGATGCTAAGTATTTGGAGGATGGAAAACATCGACCAGCATGCTATCATCTCGAACACTAGAAACCAGCAGACAGCCACTTCAGTTGGTCTTCCTAGTAAATCATGTACGTTATCACGAGTTGCCGTACCGTCTGGTGTGCCACTGCCAACTTCTCTTTCTGGAGTTTGCATTTCCCAAAATGTCAGTAATTTTATGTTGTTGATTAGAAAACACCAATAATAATCTTTAATTTATTGACTTGCACTTTACGGAACCAGAAAATTAAAATTCACATGCTCAGTTTTTGAAAAGTCTTGAAATTTGAAAAGCATGTTTTCCTTTCTTCAACAGATGTAATTCAGCACGCAAGAGCTGTAGGGGGAAACACCAGTATTACGCAACCATCTTCTCAGATTTCATGGGTTCCAGCTCGACAAGCATTGACAGCAGTTTCAACCTCAGCCTCCCCTTCGTCATCACTACAAATTGTTGTGAGGAAATTATTTGTAATTTGAAAAAGACACATATAATTCTTTATTACATTGAAATATGACTTTACTCGCCAATCGACCTTACAAATGAATTTTTTCTGGATATTTACGAAAGTTTTTTGGGGAAATTTAACTAAGTTATTTATTCTGAATTTTAGTGCTAAATTTTTGACATACTTCCCACTCCAAAAATATTTTTAACTTAGGAAACGGTGTAACTGCAATTGCATCACTACATAGTTGTTTTTCAGCTCCTAGTTATATAAAGCGGATATTTGCGAAAAAAAAATCATGCATTATTTTTTTGATTTTTGTAGTTATGGAGATACGCCTTTAGCACTTTAATAAAATTCTTGAAGAAAATCAGTTCCTGCTCCGTAGTATTTTAGGGTACAAATTCTCATCCTGGAATAGCTGCGTCCCCAACACAGCCGGTTGCATTATCCGTTTCTACACAGACAGGTGCGGAATCACCGTCACCACCTTCGAATACACCACCTTATTTACAGGTAACTTAACCTTTTGTGAGTTTATGTAGGGAATGGACCTGTGCATTAAAAACCATAAACTTGCCGGTTTAGCCTTATCGTGGTGCACTTGAAGCAGTCGGTCTAACTGTTGGCACACAAATGGTTACTCGGGATTATATCGTGAAAAATGCTGAAGGTGAATACTTCTGTGCTAGATCTGGATGTGCCAATGTTCGAATCGAAAAGATTACCAGTGGACGTGTGCACAATTTGCGTCATAATCCACAAAATATTTTTTTTTGCTTGGAATGTGGCAGCGCATTTCCATTCGAAAATCTCACTGTGAAGCATATGATCGAATTTCATCATCAAAAGCAGAGTAACCACCATTTGTTCTTTTTCTAAATCCTCTTTTGGTTCGTTTAATTTCAAAATCCGTATCCGTCCTAGTCTGATTTTGATAAAAAATTCGTTTAATTTCAAAATCCGTATCCGTCCTCGTCTGATTTTGATGAAAAATTGTTAAGAGCGGCGGTTATTTGAAACAAAGAAATTGTAGAGTCTAGAATTGAATCGAAATTGAGACTTCGGATCTGCTGATGGTGATTTAGCGATATTGTCGATTCAAACAGTGTAACGATAGAATATATTGTCCTGAGACAACCTTCCAGACTGACGAAAATCTGACTACTTAAATGATGTTATGTATCTGAATTTTCAGGAATCATTTATTCCTTCGTTTTATTTTCAGCACCATCACTGAGCTTACGTTGTCCGTTATGCCCGAAAACCCCTCCATTTACGCGAGTAGAGCTTTTTAGGAAGCATATGGCCGAGTCAGCAGCGCACTCAACTGCTGCTTATTCTTTCAATTTCAAACAGAGGTTTTTCACGTTTTCTTGTTCTTGGGGTTTGTAAGTCATACTGAAAAGTAACGAAGGTTCCGTAAAGTGCTGAAGCCATACTTTGAGTGCTAGGATGGATTGGAGTGGAAATTTTTCTTGCTGTTTCAATTTATTACTTCTTTACTTATCGATAGGATCTAAGTTGCACTGCAGTTCGTATATTTAAACTTTCTTCGTTTTAGATGCAAACTACGTTTCCATTCAATAGAAGCACGGTTGCGACACGACCACGAGCATCGTGCAACAAGAAATGCGTAAGTTTTTGGTCATTTATAAGGTATTTTTCATTTCTAGTATTTAAAAAAAGTGAAGGGTACGTTTTTGCAGGATGATTGGCTGCTTTCATTTAGGTTAGACGGTAAAAAGAATTATTCAAGTACAAAAAAATGACACTAATTTTGTGTACTTGGGTGTAAAATCTACAATACTGTTTACTAGCTAATATAACTTGAGAAATTATACTGTTTCACGTTTTAGCTGTAGTTCATGTTCTAAGACATGTTCTAAGACATTATTATCCGCAACGAGTTAATCAGCACGTATCAGTAGGTTACTGGGTTACTGTTTTAAATTTTAAGAGTATGAAATGATGGGATAAAATCAGTTTAATTTGTTTTCACATTTAGGGCATGTTGCTTTGTGTGTGGTACGAGCCGAAATTGGTGGTTCAGCCCAGCACGAGCTGATTTTCCATATATTGATCATTCATATATTCATGCGTTTTCTCTTTGGGGTGTGTGTCGGGAGTGTGGGTTATCTTACCCAAATGAATTAAAGGTTTTTACTTTCTCTCTTTCTTTTTTCAGTGTTTGTGTCTGAATTGGTGATGATGAAAAGGTAGATGGGATAAAATCATTTCTAGGTCGTTTACAAATTTAAACCATATTGTCTTGTGTATGTCCAAAATTTTCGAAAATTTTTCAAAAAGGTTTAGTGATTAGAATGGCGTATAACAGCCTGAAGGATTAACACGGTCTTATACGGATTTTTGAGACATTGTTTTTCTGCAACATTTTCTTACATGAAAAATTCAGCTGCCCAAATATAACATAGTATCTTCGCGAAATAGCAGTTTAATGAACACTTGAGTTTTGAATAAATATTGGATGTCAAAGGAATCGATTACTTAACCCCTGTTTTTCAGAAGGAGATGAAATAGGATTGCGTGACGAATAATGTAATTTTGTGATGCATGTTATAGAGTTTTGCAATTTTTTATTGTATTTGTTTTTCTATTGGGATTAATTTTTATTTAAATTCCATTTCTGTTTTAGAATCAACAGTATTTCCATCATTTTAAAGAGCAGCATATGACCAAAGCATCAGATATTTGGCACTGCAAAATATGCAACATAGAAATTGACAACTGCAACGTCCATGTGCATGCGTTGCAACGACATTTTGTATGTTTTCATTTCTTTGATATGTTTTCTTTTTTCATTGTCAGTGAAACTAAATTCCAGGTTAGGGAATTTGAGCTTTCTATATGTTGTTATTTCGAACTAGAAATGATGTACCTCCACTTGTTGGTTTGCCTATTTAATATATTGCTTTTACTTCTCTGGAAATTTTTTTTATTCCACTTGATTTATTTCGACAGATAGAGTAGAGCATTCTATCCATATAAGTAAAAATCCATTCGGAAATTCTTTTTGATTAAAACAGAAAATGTGATCAGTTCCATCTTATTCTTCAAATCAGGTCAGCACTTTATGCAAAAAGAAATTTTAGATTATAAATTAAATCCTTTTGTTTTGCTGATTTTCATGAAAATTAGATTTTCCAAAATCGGTAAGGAAATATTAAGCCAAAAATTTTTCGATTTGGAGTTTTATTTTAGGTTATTGGTGTTAAAATAGATCGACGAAAACCTTATGTTGTTGAAACGAGTGAAGCGGTAATGCGTGCTTTTTTGGGTTATCCAGTGCCGGATAATGCAAGGGTCTAAAAATAAATTAGAATCGTTTACGTCTTTCGCCTTCCTCTTTTTTAGTAATTCAGTTTTTTTTCTCTCTGAATTAATTAGCCTCTTTTGTTGTTACTGTTACTATTAGCAGTATTGTTAATACAGGTTGTATTAGCAGTTACTTTTGCAATTTAGCCTTACACGGTGAGGTGTATTAATTCACAAAATCAGTTATATGAACTTATCTAAATCTCGTCGAAATTCATGTTCAAATCCATGTTTAAGTGGCAAAAGCGAGATCAGATGGAATGTTTTATATGATTCCCTCTTATCCTATTCGTTATTCGTGTCAATTTTATTTATTTGATTTAATTCTTGGTGTGAATTGAGCAACGGAATCTGCTCTTTGTAAAACAGCAGAATAACATCCGGGTTTTCCGTGATCTCTGGAAAAAGTGAACTTAAAAACTTAATTGATCAAATGGCGCGTAAAAAGTGGCAGACATTGTAAATAATCTTTAAACCGCGCTGTGCTGTCATAAATTATTTTCTAGTTTTGGTTTATGTGATGCAATTTTAAAAATTTTTCTGCTATGTTACTGATATCAAGACTCACTATGACAGTGTTTTTTCATTTGTTTGCTTGCATATTGCCAACTTTGTTAATTTAAAACGGATATGCCAAAATTATAGTTTTAGTGTTCGTAATGCTAAGTTGATGCCAAAATTAAGTGACTTTTCGGGAACATGTGAAAATTAGGACTAAACATATCTCCAGTGTTTTATGTACTACTGTTTTGAAAATTCGATTTTCATAAACCGATGAGCGTGTTATTTTACTATCGTATTATTTGCAACTTTTTTTTCCTTTATTATAAGGCTGACAGTCGTGATCCGGTTTTGACAATCACTTGGAGAAATTGATCATACAAAATGTAGTGCGCTGTCTCATGTCTCCAATACTGTGTGATGGATGCAACATCGAAATCCAGCCAGTGGATAAATCTGTGTTGCTAGGGAGCATGTTTTAGGCCCCGTTATCCAGTCTTTCTTTGGATTCCTGTCAACGACAACCCAGCTTTTTTCTTACGAAGTAAATATGGTCAGTCAGGGTTCTAGGGTTTGATAATCTATGGATTGGATGAGGTTTTTGGTTATTTTCCTCGTACATTTTAATTTTTATCGTGTTCTTTATCGAAAGGAGCATACCATGTTCGGAGCACTGATTTCAAACTAGACTTCATGTTTCACAAGTTTCTTGATAAACAGTGTGTTATTCAACTTCAGACGTCTCCTGTGCTAAATAAAGGTCGCGTGAAAACGTGAAATTGATGGTGGTTGCAGTTACTGTTACTCAATCATACGGAGAAATGATTCATAAAATTCATTCTGTGAGTAGATAACAGTTAATTTTTTTGCTGGTAGCTCGCGCCATATAATTTGCTTCATAACCTGAAGTTTCTACCTTGTTGGAGGAGGGAAGAGGGGAGGTTTTGGAAGTTTCGAGTAAGCCGGGAGCTATTGGAGGTTCAAGAATCTCGCCTATCTAGCCGGCTGGATCAAATGATGAGTTAAACGGAGTGATTTAGGTTGTGGGGTTCCTGATGACTCGTTTTGGTGTTTTCATCTTAAAAGATTTCTGAGTCTTTGAAATTTTCAACATTAAAAAGGAATACCCTCCTCATATCGTCCATAAGTGATTTGTCATGCGAGAAAAGAGATTCGGCTCGAAACATGGCTGCTGTTAATATTATCATCCACATTATAGCAATAATAGAACCCAGCCAAAGATGAGCGTTCCTGAACATTAAGGCTTGAGTGACAAGAAACCGATAGAATCATCAGTAATCTTGATATCAGATATCAAGATTGAAATCAGAGAGTAACATTGTTAACTTGTTCCTAGCGGGAAAGCCCTGCTAAAGTGGAATTCGTAAATTGTTACAAATCTGGAGTGGACTGTTAGGTAATATTAGAATAGCTCTCTGGTTCTTTCTTTTTTTTCTTTTTTTTTTAAAGTAACTTGTCGAGGATAAAATCCAAGACTAAAAGACCTTGTAGCTGCCCAGAAACAGTTTGCATCAATACCTAGCTGCATAGCAACCAATCACAATGAAGCAATCATTAACAGTAGAAAAATATTCTAAGACATCATAAAATAAAGTCGGGGTAATAGACTTAGAGAGAAAAAAAAGGATTGAATAAATCCATGTTCTCCTGACCAACCGCATACACATGTCCGTGAACTAAGGATTTCTACTAACTCGAGACGATGATTTTCATTCCGGGCGCGAGCTAATTTTTGAGTTGTCGTAGTTGTAAAATGGAGCAGATGGTTAGCGGGGGAATACGACTATTCATTTGTTTGTTTATGTTTGTTTTGTTGGTTGGTGTATGTTTATATTCTCCGCTACGAGTGGATTCATAAGATAGTTGGTTCAAGTAAGTCGAATTCCACGGGTCATTTGCGACACACTTTATTTTGAGCTAAAAACTATTCTCTGGTCTGTTGCTAATTTTCTCATTATTCAGCTTAATCCTTTATTGCTGCATTAGTTGTAACTTTGAAATATCGTATATACATTTGGTTGTTCCCTTCTTGAGTAATAGTAATGGTTATTATCCTTATGATTATTGGTACTCATGTTATATATATATATATATATATATATATGTTAAAGGAACGCCTTTTAGTAAGAGACACAGCATAAATATTAATCATTATAGAGAGGCAAGCAGATCGTAAACTTCGGATTCAGCTTTATACGAGGAGAATTGTTGCTTTGAAAACATTTTGTTTTTGTGAGAAGTTTGAGTAGCTTTTGGATTGATAATTTACTTGTACATTATATGCAGCCACAGTAACAAAATGTCTTAAGCTTATTACGACACAAGAAATGAATTTTCTCTAAAATGTTTGCACTTTCCTCACTAAATGCTTTTTTCTATAGTCACTTTTATTTCTCGTCGACATTTCAGACTTATCGCTACTTTAGCAAGTTTTCTGTTTTTTATCTTCAGTGAGTTGCTCTTTTTTTCATTTTTTTTATATTGTAGAACGTTCCCTATCTTCTTTCATATCAGAGGATTCACTTTGCATTGGTGTTATTTGATGTAAAGCATGTAGGACCACTTGATTATCTTCGTTTCTCCAATTACAAACCACAATTGATATGCAATACTTAACACAAAAGCGTTGCTGATAATAATCAAGCAGATATCCACTAGTACATTTCCTAAATTTTAGTGAAATATCCCGATGTTTACCAGGACTGCAACTTATGTTTGGTGAGTTCTTAGTTCCGCTTCATTGGTTTACGCGGACTATCAAACAAAGTGGTTAGATGCATCCCTGTGTTAGTCCGTTTTTCCGTTATCCTTGATACGTTAGCAGTGTTACAACATTATTTTCTATTTCGTAAAAAAGGTATGTATATGATCAAAATTGTCCCAACTAGCTTTAGCAATGAAACATCCCTTACATACTCAGGTACCATCCGCTGTAAGATTTCACTGTTCAATAATTTGTGGTAACGTATGCGATGCTACTCAGTTATTCAATATGTTTAAAAAGAGCGAATAAAATTGAAGTCTAAAGCTTTGAGAAATTAAGCTGCGATTGAAATTTGATTCAAACAGATTTGGAAAACAAAAAATAATAACATGACACAGCGGGAAAGAATTTGCTTTCGAATTTTTGTTAAAAGGAGAAACTGAATCGACAGTTATTCAAAAAAATACTTATATTATACAGATGTGCTGAAAATGGCGGTTGCTTACAAAAATTTGTATATGAGTATCAGCTCACTAGATGATTCTCATTTTAAACAGCAAAAGAAATAAGATCCAAACAGAAAGTTAGGTCTGCGAATTAAAAATAGATTAGGAAGGGAAAAGTTCCTGTTATTGAATGTATACACGTACTTGGGGCGCCGCTAAAACTAGCTTAGTCGTGAACGGATTTATTTGGGGTTTTTACTTGTATATTTGGGATGAAAAGATTTTTCAAGCTTTTTACTTTTTATTTTTATTTCTTTAGCAGCAGCTATTCTTACTTGGTTGTATGTCATAACTGCTCAATGATTAAGAATGGATGCAGCAAATTCTGTAAAAAAAAGGAGTGAAGGCGTTGAAGATGCCTGTATTCGAAAGAGTTGGAAAATTATGAGCAGTTGAATCATTTTATTACAGTTTTCTCCTCAAGTAGTAGCCATTAGAAAGCGTTAGACATCCTACTTAAACTTTCCGATTTGCTCCAGAAAAAATTTTCCTGTTTAAAAGGCCATTTGCAAATAGAATTTTCGTTAGTGATTGGTTCGCGTAAATTAAACATGAACGGATGAAACATTGTACTGACAAAATTTAAGACCTTTTCATCTTGTTAACGCTTTTCTCCGTTCTTTATTAGATCATTTCGTGCAAAACTTTATTTGGGATTAATGTGCCACTTAAATTCTTGCCAAATCAATTTAACCAGGCTTTGTAATAAAGCACATTTCTTTTTTGAACTTTTTTCAGCACAAATGAGGAAATGGAAGTGAGAGAATGTGTTGCATTATGTGGCACTATTCTTAGATAAGGTACAGTTTATATAGGAACAATAAGGTACAGTTTATATAGGAACATTATCCCTGTCATGGAACTATTCTTTGCTTCCCGGATCCGGAAAAGTTAAAATTTCATGCAGTTTAGTTAAAATACTTTTTTTGACTCAGTTATTACTAGAATTCTAATCCAGTGAATAAGGTACAGCTTATATAGGAACATTATTCCCTGTCATGGAACCTGATTCGACTATGTGCTTGAACATCACATATATGCTAAGATCTGCTGCTTTTTTGTGCTGTTTATTACCTGACTATGCGGTATTTCCAAGAGGTCAATGAAAAGATTTGTTCATATGTTTACAAATAATTTTATTCAATTCATATTTGTTTGTTTTTCGTGAAGTTTTTCCTCTCCTTGTGTCTTGTGAAACCTTTCTGCAATCTTCATTAGTAACTTTTTAGCAACAAAGCATTTATAAAACTGTTTTCCACATCAGCTTAATTAATTTGTTAATTTCCTACTCCCAATCTATTTGAGAAATAAAAATTCTGCGTTTAATAGGCTTGGTCTTCTCTGTGAATAAAGATTATATTTCCGTGGGAAACTTTTTCATTGCTTTAAATTGGTGATTCCCAGTCTTCCCTTGACCAGGGATCATTTTGGCTTTTATTTGTTACAGGAACCACAAGGTTCAAAAATAATAATCTGTTAATTTGAAGATAAACTTTAGCCAAAATGTTTAACGTGTTGGTTAAAAGTTCATTATAATTTCTACTCTCAGTCTATTTGAGAAGTATTAGTTCATTATAATAGACAAAGAAGGAAAATAATTTCTAACAGCCCTCGCGGACCATATTTTTTTTTCGCGGATCACCAGTTGGGAACAGTACTTTAAACAAAAGTCATTTTTCCTACCTAAGGAAGAATTCATTTTTTTCATTGTTTAAAATTTCTGAATGTTTGACATTCATATCATATGCCATGAAGCGCTGCTGTGAAGTTTTTGGCCAAACTAAATTTTATTTAAATTAACTTGAAACTTTGTGTTTTTTAAAAGTAATGTTGATAGGAACTAATAAAAATAGGAACTCAGCCTCATAATTAGTGATTGTATTTGATTGCACCGGCTCTATGTGACTTTCTTGATGGAGTCTGTCATTTTCAAAATGTCCTTTACCTTTTACATTTGAATGAAGAGTCCAAAAAAAAGTGTCGACTACATATATGATAAATCTGTTGATAGGGAATGTAACACAATGTGCGTGAACAAAATAAATTATGGAG